TTTTTTTTAATGATGAACAAGGACAGCAAAAAAAAGCAAAAAAAAAAAAAAACTAAGGCCCTCTACTGCTCAGCACTCAAAACGCTGGCGTTTTGAGTGATGAGCACGCCGAGCTCATCAGGCTGATGAGCACGGAATGCGGTCCCGGCTTTAAGACTATAGGCCAACCTTTCCCCCGCTCCCGAGGATCGTCGAGCGTGGGTTCAGCCGTCGCTTCTGTGTCTTTCTCCCGCAATCCCCACAATTTTGACAGATCTCTCTCACTCCTTCTTTAACTTCACAGTCTCGCATCCCTTCTCTTCCCAATCTACCGGACTTCCAGTTGATTCAGAAGGAGGGACTCATATAGTCTTCGCTTCTACTGATTCAGATCAGACATCGTCGGCGGCGTTCTCTCGTCAGGTACGGAATTTTAAAGACTTACAAGTATAATCTTTTTCTGCTTCTATATGCTTCTGTAGAAACCTTGCATAAACGTTGTGTATGATGACGTCCTCTTCCATCGCTGAGCAAATTGAATTGATGCATTGCCAGTTGTTACTAACTTAGAGCATTACTCATAGCATTGTAACAAGATTATTGTTTTTCGAGATTAGAGCATCATTGGATTGGGTAGCAGCTGCCAAGAGGAGGAGAGGAGTGATTTTAGTTTGTCAGAAAGGGAAGTACTGGAATGGGGACTGCTCTCGCTAGCACAGCCCTGCCTCTTCGAGGCTCTCATTTATTCAGATATTCATTCAGTCTCTTCAGAAACTTCAGCTCTGCTTCGTCTTCGGCTTCTTCCGCTTCTCAAAACCCTACCACCTCTAAGAAGTCCAAGAGAAGAAAGAAGAAGAACCTGTTCGAGGTCGCTCAGTTCTTGCCGAACTGGGGAATCGGATACCACATGGCCAAGACTCACTGGACTGACGTCTCTTATGAAATCACCAAAATCAATCTCTACAAGGTCTTTTTGTCCCTTTGAATTTAACCTTATCCAGCAAATGCGCTTTTGCATTAGTTTGTTAAAGACTTACATTTTATGCGTCTACCGAATTTTCAGGATGGAAGGCATGGCAAGGCATGGGGAATAGTTCATAAAAATGGTCAGTCTAAAGTTTCTTATCATCCTGCGGTTTCTTTTGTTCTGCCCCTCCCTCCTTTTGTTTTTCCCTATTGTCATTTTAGTTTTGCTCATCATACTGCGAAAGATTTCAATGCAAGAGTACTTGAACTATTATATCCTGACAATCGTTGAAGGTAGTGATCATGCGTTGTAGTGGTATTCTTCAATGAGACTATAGTTTGAGTTTGCCTTTCTGATGGATGAATTGCCTCATTGTTCGTGGTTATGACTCTACCACTGTTTTTTCTCAGACGGAGATATTGTTAGGAGGGGGGAGTTTCTAAGCTCTGTGGACATGTAAGAATGCGTTCACAGATAAACTCCCCCCCGGGGGCAGCAGGGCCCCCAAGCCGGCGGGGGGGAGCAATTATGTTGCTTGAAAATGCAAATTTGGGACTGTCCAAACATGTTCTCCAGCATAGAAACTGAATTAGCTCCAAAGGCACTTTCTTGGCGAGGAATTACATTTAGGCATAAGGCATTCCAGATGGAATACCAAGGATGCATTTATTGAGTTTCTTTCGCAATTTTGGTGGCTGTTGGTTCTGATTTTTTTACAACATTATTTTTTGTGATAACCTTTGCTCCTTATATATTTTCTGCGTTGTATGGCATTCGTTACTCGGTTGAAGTCTTTGCAATCTGAAGCATTAGCAAAATCCCTTCTCAATCACTTTAGTGGAATATATAAACCACAGAGAAATAACTAAATGGATAGTCATTAAACTTTTGAATTCCTTTTGGCTAATATTCTTTTTTATTATATGCTGTTGCATTCTCACCTGGGATACTTCTTATGAATTATTCATCTGGATGCAATCTTAAATTTATTTATGTTGTCTAAATGATTGAGTTGATGCTTAGTTTAGTTTATTTCTGTTGTTTATGGGTTTAAAAATGGGGGTTTGTTCAAGATATTTTCCTACTGTCATGGGGCTTTTCTAATTTTTTACAACGTATTGCAGGCTTGCCTGCAGCAGACGCTGCAAAGAAAATTAGTGGGGTTCACAAGCGCTGCTGGAGATACATTAAAAATATAGTAAAATCATCAGAAAGCTCACCGAGCTCAACTGGTTCAGCAGACAATGGCCTCAAAGCTGAAACCCAAGCGAGTTAATATTTTCGTTTGATGTTGCGTGGTTTAGAATTGGTTTTTGTCTGAAATAGACGTTCTTCAAGTGTAGAAGTTTTATTTTTAATTTAAAACAATCAAATTCATCTCATACATTCATGTAAGGTTCCCTGCATCCCCCCCCCCCCCCAAAAAAAAAGAACTCTACATCGTGACTGGGACATGTTATGACTTGTCAAAGATTGAGTTCGGTTGATATAACATTGTTCCATGTTGGATATAACTGCATCTGGGAAAAAGTTGAAGTAAGGTCATTCATCAAGGATCTACAACCTCTGCCTGCAAGGTCTTTCTGAGATCCAAGTCCGTACAGATCACTTGAAATCTGCCTATAACTTTCTCGGAAGTGAAGCTAGGTCTCGTCCACTGTAACTACTAGCACATACTGCAGCAAGGGATGGAAGGTGTGGTTCAATAAAAGCAAAACGAAGCGTCAAGTTTTTCTTATTTTATTATTGATGTTGTTCTGGAAAAGGAAATATTTTTCAGTTTCAGATAGTGCATACAGTCCGGGCACACACACACACGCATATACACATGATGGGCCATTGCGGCTTGGAGAAAACTTGCTCTGGGCTAATAGAGGAGTCACAAAGATCATGGTTTGCTTTAAAATGAGGCGCTTTCAAAGGGTGACTTTCTCCAACAATCCTCCAAACATATCAAGTCTGATTTGGCTCTTTTTAGTTCTTAGTTATGTAGTAATAGTAGTTCTAAATAAAAGATTTAAATTTATTTTGTTTTTCATATTTATTTATTTATTTCTTTAAGTTAGTTTTTGTAATAATGATAATTCTAGTTAATACATTAGATTAGTAATAATATTTTAAGAAAAATAACATATATTTATTATAAATAACTAACTTAATTAATTTTTTTTTTACTCTATTCAAATTAGTCAACAAATTTTTATATTAAGGATGAGAAGTAGTATTATTGTTTCTTCTAATTTAGTTCACCTTTCTACTCTTGATATTTTATGCTTGCCTCTGGCAAGTAACTGACATTCTTTCTATTAATAAATTGCAGGTTTAACCGGAAGAGAAAAAAGGGAACCTTGATTATTTCATCATGACCATTTTTTTTCCTTCCTGTTAGATATTGGGAACTTAATGGTGGTGTCTCTATAAATGAGACATAATAATAAAAGCTTATGAATAGTAACGGGATTTGACTTACACTTGGATATTGTTCATATTAATTTTTTGAAATGCTTATTTTATTTATAATCGTCATTTATCAAGGCAAATTATTTGCTTAAGTTCATTTTGAATAGGCATTGCGTTTAGAGTACAGCCGTGCATGAGGCAAGGACCAGGAGTGGTTCTCCTCTACTACTTGACTTCCTTTGCTTTAGAGACTGCAATCTCATTAAATATAATCAATCATCAACACATCATATTTTACATAAATTCTTACATTTTCAATTACAGATATTACCTTTTGTCCTTAATATAAGAGCTAATTAATTAATTTGAGTAGATTTTTTTTGGCTAAAGCATAGGTATCATTCCATTGGAGGCAATCCTCTTCAAGACATTGTTGGGCACTAAATGTGGACATCTCTCCTAGTGGGGATTCGAATCTTATTTCGCTACGTTGTAAGGGACTATTTGAGTAGATTAAGGAAGTGTATAAAGTTATTTATTTGTAATAAATAGATTTTTTTTCTAGAATACTTTTACTAATCAAGTGCATTAGTTAAAACTACTATTATTACAATGACTATCTTAGGAAAAAAAGTAGATAAATATGATAGACAAAATACATTGGAGTCTTATATTTAGAATTAAAATAAAAAGCAAACGAGCTCTTATATTAAGAACTGGAAGTGTAGTACATTGCTAAAAATTCAAATTTAAAACCTATTTTAGTATTTTTATTTTATAATAATAGATATATTTACTTTAGTCTTGACCGTTATTGCCATCTTTTTAAAAACAATCACTTTGATATAATAATCCCAAAAATATGAAGTCAAAGTGTGCCTACAAAAAGAGAATATAACGTCCGAGAAATAGTGGGAATATCGGCAGTTGGGCAAGTGCGGTCCACATAACTCTTGACCTCAATGATGCCGCGTCACGCAATACCGCTCCGCACATCAGCGTCAACGTCCGCGTAGCCTCCACATCCAACACGCGATATTTCTTTTTACCTTTGTTGGTTTTTCAGTGGAACCAATATTGCGATATTTGCTTCAAAATATATTAATTTTAATTGTTGGAATTTTTGTGTACTTTTTACTTATTTGTTTTCCTTCTCATTGATCAATTTCAATTATATTTTTTATTCTATTCCTTCTATCTTTAATAAAAATATTTAATTAATTTGAATAGGTTAAAAACTAAATAAATCATTTAATTTTAAAAACTATGATATTATCTTCTTAAAATAATCCCGTGTAATATTAAATTATCTATTAACTTACAATTTGAATAAAAATCATATATATAAAAGATAAAATGAATTAAAATTTTATATTTATAACTAACTTTTATATTTAGAAAAGAAGGAGTATTATTTTACCTCTATATGTGAAAAGTTGTTATATCAATTTGTTTTTGCCAATAAGATAATAATATTCAATTAATCTATTAAAAATAAATTTTTTACCTATATTAAAAATAAATTGACAGATATGATTAAAGATAATATAATAAAACAGGACAATGCTTTTTGGCCGAAAATTAATAGGGACAATTAATGAGGTTTTTATTTGAGAAAATCAGACCAACTCAGCCCACAAGAAAAGCACGCGCTCTTTGAGCGCGTTTCGCTCGTGAAGGTTGAATACTTGAATGTTGGTTTGTCGACAGGCAATCATTTATCAGAAATGAGCTTCATTTCCAAAAATTCGATGACTTTTGATGCCTAATGATTCACATTTACACATTTTCGAACAAAATTTACGATATTTGTCAGAATAGAATCGTTTGCACATTATCCGAATCAGACCTGTCTTTTAGTTTTCTGAATCTTTCTTGCACTCTCCGTTGAATCTCCCTTTTTCTTCTTTCTCATTGCTGTTTTCTCGAAGTTTCAGCTTTCAACTTCAACGGTTTTCGAAAACCAATTCCCTCACAGACCATTAATATTCTCTGGCTTTCCAACTAACTTGTATGATATTTTAATCTTCCCCCGCCAACCCAGAAACCTTTTAAGAAAGCTTTGATTTACAGAAGACAAGGGGCCGTTGTCTCCTCGAGAGGATAAGGGTGTAATCTGATTTGTAAGGTTTTCGGCTGAGAACTATTACTTTTCCTACCTGTTTTGGGCCTCTCATTGCAACGACTGCGCCCTGGTTTGTTTATTTTTCTTACTCCTATTTTGAACAGTATATTATTCTCTGCAAAGATGAACAAATCAAAAGATTACATCTTGATGGCTTCATCCTTTTTTTGTGCTGAGCATGGTTGTTATAATTACATGCAGAGAACTAGCGGGTCAATGGCTGTTCTCAGATTGTAGCGTCATTTCTTGATTTGGGGATTGAAATATTAGAGGCAGAAGATGTCTTTACGGCATCATAATAATGTTGAGCTCAATGGTGTCTCAGGTTGAAACTTTCTATTTCCTTCTGCTTTTCTTCTTGCAGAAGAATGGAACAACATTTGCTGGACTCACTTGTTCATTTCCCCTTCTTTTTGTAAAATAAATTTTGAGTCTTTATAGATTGTTTGGATAATTGTTTTGCTCCTTAACGATATTCATGGAATCACGCGTTGATTAATTATTTGCATAAAAAATCTGGTTATGAAAAGCCCCCTTTCTATATTCTTACTCTGAGGCTATAGAATATTTGGACAACTTTTTTCTATACGTGGACAACTTTTTCTTTTAAAATTAGGAATGTTAGCAGAAACATGTGCTGATTGATTATTCACCGCAAACGTCTGGTTTCCATGAGGAGACCCATTTCTACTTCTAATTCGAGTTGATAGGATATAGTTATTGCACCCTCTGGTAACATCAAAGGTTGAATAAGTAATGAGACTTTTAAGTCAAAAGTAACTGGAACTTAGAGATTTCTTTTTCGCCGGTAGATAATCAGTATTTTAAACCTTTTAATGTCAGGGAAAAGAACTGGTGTGCCGTATGTATGGATTATGACATACATATACATGTTTCAATCAATCCCTGTCTTGTCATTTTATAGGGACAATAGGGTCTTGACATGAATGTGAGTTGGGGGGGTAGGGCCCTGGAGGCCTCACAACAATTGAGAAACCATAACGTGCAACTTTTCTCATTTAAACCGGAGATTAATTCAAGTTAGAATCAGGATGTGAACGTGATCAGCAAATTTTGGAGTCACGAGTCTCTCCTTCCTTTAATAATTGTAAGCTTGTAAAGTTGACTTTTGAGAAAAAAGAAAAAAAGAGTTAGTGTTATCTCTAAAATGTTGGTTCAAGAATAATGGTTGACAACTAAAGGACACAGTTCATTTTTCATTTCTTAATATTCATGTGAGCTTTCTGATTCAGGTTATTGAGATTATGCAAAACTGGAAGTTACTTCCTGTGAAGTATCATCTTGTTTCCAATTATTGGTAGGCTAACTGATGAAAGAAATGTTTCAGCTGCAGGGTCAGGATGTTGCCTTTATGATCTTTTGTGCGCTGAAACTCCAAATTTGCAATCCCAAAAGAATCAGCGGCCACCTTCTTCTGGTACTGTAAATCTCATATTATTTAAATTCTGATCAAAGTATGTACTTGCCTTAATGTAACTTTATCCTAGTGATCAATAATTTAACATCATGAAGAAACTTGTTATATTTTGCGTGCTAATTGAATAGCACCACTTTTTTGTCAGTAGAAAGAGCTAAGCCAACTTTCAGAATGACGTGTGATGCTTTTTCCTTTTTTGTCAAACACCTTCAGACTCATTTAGAATATAGTTTCAAGGGAGTTCCCGTCAAACCGCACCGCACTATCTCCATTCAGATGGATCATATTAATTTGAATTTCACAATGGATGACCTAGCATAGTACAACAGCCTAAAGTAATGCACAAGTGTTGTACAATTCGATGATTGAATTGCAGGCAGCAGGAAATGAAAACTGCTCAAGGGCCTATTTTATTATGTGTAATATGTGTTGCGCCTCTGATCCTGACCTCAGTTATTATTTTTTCAAGACTAAATTTATTACATGAATCTTTTACACATAATCAATTTAAGTCAAATCTTATTCCTTTTCTTCGTGTTTCCAATTAATAGGTCCTCTAGAAAGGTTGGAGAAGTTGATGCATGAAGCAGGGAACAAGTATTGTGCTGATTGTGGATCTCCTGAGCCAAAATGGGTGTAAGTATCATACTGATTCTTAGTTCTTACAGAATTTGGCCTCCTTGATTTTTCTATTCTCATGTTTAAATATCATCACCTCAGATTACAGACTTGATGTCATTTAAATTTCATCCTAGACAATAATTTTCCTTACTTGTCTGCATTAACCGTGAGTTTAATGTCCCTTTTCAAAAAGGTTATTGGCACTTCACTTGGAACAGAATTTCCATTTGTTCAACATGACAGAAATATGTGCTTTTGGATATGCATACGGAGATTATACAGAATTCTAGAAATATCTTTCCTAACCATTTTGCTGCTTGTTGAGAGCGGTTTCCTCCTAGGTCAAGAACTTCCACGATTCATATTTTTATATTAAGAATTTGTTACCTCAAGTTTAGGATCCAGCTGAGGTATGTTTCAAAACAAGATAACTAGTCTTAGACCACTCAAAATTAC